TTCTTTCTTTCTTTCTTTCTTTCTTTCTTTCTTTCTTTCTTTCTTTCTTTCTTTCTTTCTTTCTTTCTCTTCCTTCCTTCCTTCCCTCCTTCCTTCCTTTATTTTTTCCTTCCTTCCTTCTTTCCTTCTTTCTTTGCTTTCTTGCTCCCTCACAAACTCAGAATGTCCTTGCAAACTCAGATTTGATCTCATCCTTTTCAGTATATGAGCCCTGATAGGCTAGGGCAGGGATGTCAACACAATTGAGTCCAAAATTTCTGTTATTATGCAAGGCAATTTTTAAATGAGCCCTGATCTACTTTACAACCTTTTTTTGGCATGATTGTTAAGTGAATCACTGCAGTTAAGGCTTCAATCATTTCCCTGGCTATTTTTGTACCTGCTCAGCCAACAATTTTAGTAGCTGCGAAATTGAATGTGCATCCTTGTTCGTTGCAATGTGAGGCTACTAGTGAGAGTTTGGGCCTCCTCATCTGACCATTCTTGCAATCTGGTAAAAGCATGAGCTTCCTTTCTCCTTAACTTAACTAATAGCCCAACATTTCTTCTCCCAATGATTCAATGCTCCTGTATGATGTGAATCCCAACACTCAAGGGAATAAGGCTTTGAATAACTAACTCAAGAATTTGTAGGAAGTTTCTGGCACCAAAACTCCATTTGGGAAATCAGATTACTTTAAAAACTTGGAAGGCCAATGGAGAGATTATGCTGATGTACCAATCAAAGGTATTTATGCAACCCTAAGGCACTAAAAAACAGCATCCTGACCTGCCTTGTTTTTTAACATGTTTATAGCATTAAATTCCATCAAAAGATTGAAAACAAAGTGCAATGAAACTTCTTGCTTTTTTTTTTTCAGGCAGCTGTTTCTTTTCAACATCATACAATATGTTGGTGATTTACAGTAAAAACAACTGCCCTGAAATGACAAGTTTAATATCTGGATGATGCGATCACTTTTCTATTTTTATTCTTATTTTGTATGTACAGGAATGTCTGTAAACATCTACTTGGTTTAGCATGGGCCAGCAATGCAGTATACAAAAACAAACCATTAAAAGCAAATTATGAAGAAACAGGTTCAAGAGCCGAAGTATTTCAGAACTAAAAGGAGCAGAAATATGTTTTTTTCAATCTCTGTACTGAAAATTATTAACAGCAGGACAGCTTCAATATGCTTTTACTGGTACCAGAAAATTTGCTCAAATAATGCCATCTTATCTTCTTCCCAGGGCAGAGTAGTTGAAAAGTTCTTTCTCATCTTTCTGATCCTTCTAACTTTTTTTTTTTTTTGAACAAATTGTTGTTTTGGGAAAATAATTTTAGGAATGACCATACCGGAAGAAGATGCTGAAGTGGGTCAAGGCAGCAAATATTGCCTGGTGGCGATAGGAAGACTTCAGGTAAAAAATGCTTTTTGGTTACAAAAAGGCTTGCAGAAGTTAACTCTGTGGCTTGCTTATTTATTTGTTTGTTTGCTTGTTTTAAATTATTATAAAAGCTATTCTCCAAAGCACCGGAGGGCAGGGTGAAAAACAATGGAGGGAAACTAATCAAGGAGAGAAGCAACCTAGAACTAAGAAGAAATTCCCTGACAGAACAATTAATCAGTGGAACAATCCAGAAGTTATAAATACTCCAATACTGGAAATTTTAAAGAAGAGATTGGACAGCCATTTATCTGAAATGGTATAGGGCTGAGCAGGAGGTGGACTAGAAGATCTCCAAGGTTGCTTCCAACTCTGTAATTCTATTCTAAAGTGGACTTCAAATTACAACAGTAATCCCAGCTGAAAATGTGAGGCCAGTAGAGCAGAAGTATAACAATGCTACCAAATATATCACTATCCGAATACATGTAAGATCTACATACTTCATTGTGTATAATTCGGGACTATGGATCACTTCTTGATGTCTAGAGGTGTTATTCTTCCCTATTAAGGAATCTGTTGGAGTCAAAGCTGTGGTTCATCTAACGCTTAAGGTGGATAGTCTTTCTGCTGTGTATCACATTATCTCAAAGATAAGAGACAGGGCTGAAGTCAACACAGGTTAGAATCAATGCCCAAAGTAGAATGGTGCCTCCATTCCTTTGCAACATTCCCCCTTTCCATCTCTTCAACCAGCAGCCTATAGGGAAAGGAAAAGCATCTCTTACCAAAAGTCTGAAATGTTCTCCTGCTGCAGGCTTTGGAAATTACACCAAAGGCTATTTGTATGCTACCGTATGTACAAGTCTTGCCGCTTCGATGCACCTTGCAGCAGGGATTCAACACATTAAGCTAAGGAAGATTGGTCTACCTGGTAGAGACTCTCCATCATTGGTTTTCATACCTGGTTGGAGATGCAAGCACACCGAATGCAGTCAGTGATGTTGCACATACACAATAAGGACTGACTGGGTGGGGAAGGGAGGGGAGGGGTGGACAGAGAGGGGCAGGGTCAGCCAGGGGCACGATTTGTCGGTTCTCCAAACTGCACAGAATCCTAACTACCGGTTCTAACCAGTCCGAACTGGTAGAATACTACCCCTGGCTGCCCAGCTCTTTTTGAAAACCTCCAGTGATGGAGCATCCAGAACTTCTGGAGGCAAGGAAACAGCATCAAGAGGACCTTGTCCTGATTCTTGACTTGTGATGACCATTGGTCTTTTATTTTGAGCAGAACACGAGGTTCCCCATCACAGGTTGAATCCATACACACAGATCAGAGTCAATGGGCAATAGGAGTGGCAAATTTTCTTTGAATAGGAAAAAACCAGGGGTCTTATTTTACATAGTGACTAATCAGGTAAGCTGCATACAAGAATAAGACAACTACACTGGTTTTTCCTGAATATTATTAAAGGTAGATATGCTCATGTAAAGTCCTTGATACTGGAAGTCTTTAGTCTCATTTGGTTTTCTGTGTCGCTGACTTCCTTGAAGAGGCAAAGTGTGGTCTTGGCACTGCTGACTTCTTTTATGCCTTAAGTATGAAAGCCAAACATTACTTTGGGGTTGCAGAAACAGGGAGAGGAAGAACATAATCTGCTAACAATGCAGCTGTCAAAATAAGACTACAGTTCCGAAGGATTATTCACGATATGTAGAGAACCAAAAGCCTTTCACCCAAGCCACGCTGTGAGGTCAACACCTAGGGAAGTGTCACCGCAAAGAAATCAGGAAGAGCGTACATGATGAACTCTTCTCTCCCCAGGAAGTACATAATCCAGCTGGAAGCCGGAGCCCTTCTCCTTCCTTAGGGTGACAGGTTGACACGATTTCAGTTCTGGGGGAGACCATTTAAGGGCTAACAATGCTGGGACGTGCTTCTTTGCTTGAGAAGTGCATCTGGCACTGTGGGACAGAGAGAGAAGGGTTCACACAAGAGCAATCTGGTCTAGTGCCCATTTTGTCACAATACCCTCTGTACTCGCATGGTTTTCTCAGTTGGCCAAGATCTCTCTCACTGCTGCCAAAAAGTTGGATTGCTCCTGAAAAACTCTGTATCGTAGGTATCACTTTCTAACCCACTGATTTATCCCAATGACCATATTCCTCACCAGCAGTTTTCTGGGAAATTTTCATTCCTGTTTGCAAGTGCATTCAGGCAGTTTGGGGTCTGATTTTCAATGGAATGATTAGCACTGAACGGAGTTCTTATTATTTTAAATCTTTTGCTTCCGATGTTCTGGGTGTTTTGAGCATTTTTAAGAAGGTTATTTGGGAAACCCAGCCTGGCCTTTTTAAAAATATTATTTAATTGTCCTGCATGCCAGACCTTCCTTTGTCCTATCTGATTGTTTAAATGATCGTTCCCATTTGAGATGGGAAGTTACAGGCTCAGATCCATAACCATTCGATCTTCTATTGAATGTTGCATCAAGTTATAAACTGTTATGCAGTTTTCTTTCACAAGCATCAATAAAATCCTTTCTTGTAAACTGTATTTTGATTATTCCCCCCACCCCCTGCCATTTTTATGAAATAAAGCATGTGTACATTATTTTTCTCAGGTGACCAGTTCGCCGGTATGCATGGATATGAATGGAATGTCGGTCCCCACAGAATTCTTATCCAGGCATAGCTCCGATGGAATAATTACCTTTGTGGATCCAAGATGCATCAGTGTTATTGGCTATCAGCCCCAGGTCTGTTCATTCTTTTTGCCTAAGTTGCCAAATATTCAGAGTTTGCCTCTGAATATTTCTAAAGAGGTCCAGAGTCAGAAATGGAGGGCTGGGTTCTCAAGAGGAAGGAGGGAAGAAAAGGGAAGGGAAGGGAAGGGAAGGGAAGGGAAGGGAAGGAAAGGAAAGGAAAGGAAAGGAAAGGAAAGGAAAGGAAAGGAAA